CCCACCAAAATTCTTCCCAAATAGTGACTGTGAAAATTATCAACAGACTCTCAGTGCCTAAATACATTCCTTTTGACAGTGTCTCTATTAACACCTCTAACTTTAGTCTCAATAATGCCTACAAGGTCCGCATGTTTTTCAAAAATCAATTTCCTAATTTCTTCCTGCTTAGAAGGTTTATTCAAGCCTCTAATATTCCAAGCAACAAAATTAAACATCTTGGAGTTTATCATAGCATACTTTAGTTGTATAAAAGTGTACTTTGGGTATATGAATTTGTTTATTATTAATGTTGTTGTCTATGTAATTTTTATTAAAATAAAAAAGAAAGAATTATCACATGAATATTTCTTAGATTGAGGATAAAAATTATAAAATAGTGATATAATACACGTAGACCGTAATACCACCTCTCCTGGTGATATTAAAATAGTTCAATAGTACGGATAAATTGTATTAAAATTATTTGTATGTGATATTTATCTAGTTAATCTCATATATAATATACGAAGCGATTTTGTGCATCCAAATGCAGTATAGACCCATATTAAAATGTTTGGAAATGTTATTTAAACTTTATTTGGAGACTTTATTTAAGGACATAATGATGTATAACCATTGAATTGGTTGTAGACTTCATCTAACATTAGAACTCACAACTAATTCAATAATTACATTGAGGTCACAATATTAAGTCTCTAAATAAAATCCCCAAATAAAATCCTTATAGCATTAATCACTACTATATATGGTTTTTTTTTTGGGAAGGTAAATTATATTCATAAAAGAACAATACAAGACAAAACATAGGGTGATACTTACATGACAGTGCACCACCCGTAACAAAAGAAAGTAAGCCAAGAGAACAACAACAAACCAAGAGAAAGGATTACTACAGAAAGTGTCGGCCTTCAACTGGTACTTTCAGTAGAATCCTAACTCTAGGGGAAAACAGAGAATGCAATAACAGGCCACCATGAACAGGGGACTGTATAATCAAAGAAGAATCATGGGTTAAGACAATGGGTTGGTAACTGACGCTATTGAGCCACTCGTTGATTATGATATGAGTTCCTAAATTTCAAAGACACCATCCTATCCCTGATGATCTGCAAAATGTTGTGCAGAGTAGACTCAGTATCTTTAAATTCATTCCTAAATAACCTGTTGTTTCTTTCACTCCAAAGGCAGTACAATGTGGCTTGGAGACTTAGTTTCTGCAACACTGTCAAAGCAGAATTACTTTTCCTGTTTTGAGCAACCCAAGCAATAAACACCAGCCATGTCCTGGGTTGCCAAGATTGAGTGAGCATGTTCTATAGCTGAATCCAAACACTGTGAGAATAAGTGCACTCAAAGAACAGATGAGCATGTGTTTCAGCAACCCTTCTACACAGAATACAATTCCCACCCACACTAGGATTAAAAATCCTATCCTTAGTACTGAGTCTCCCATTAATAGCCAACCATAAAATGAAACTCAATCTAGGAACAGCTTGTGTGAACCAAACCAGCTTAAACCATGGCACTTTTGGGTTTGGGTTCCTAATGACATCCCAGGCAGACGCAACAGAGAACATGCCATTGACAGTAGGAGCCCACTTGACACCATCCACTCTGGCCTGGTTTGGGGCATAGGAAGGCATAGAGCAAGAAATATCACATAAATCAGTAGAAGGAGTTTGCGGCCACTGCCACTTGTTGTAAAAAATAATCCTGCTCACTTTAGCATCCTTCGGTAAACTAGAATTAGCGATAATTTTATGATTCCAACTCAAAATAAGAGGGCATCTTGGGTGCCAATTGTCATACCATAGACTTGTCGACTCTCCATTCCCAATTGTGTGGATCAAGTGAGGTCTAATCCGGTCTCTCAGCTTTAACATATTTTGCCAATTCCATGAACTATTGCTTGATGGCCTTACCTCCCAAAGACTCATCCCCTTTAACTGGTAAGTGTGAATCCATTTGGCCCATAGGTTCTCTTTGTCCTAAAAAAGAATCCATAAATGCCTCATCATAAGTGTTGCATTCCAAATTTTCAAGCATTTAATCCCTAGACCTCCTTCTTGCTTTGGCCTATACACATCATTCCAAGCAATTTTGGCCCCAGTAGTTTTGAGTTCAACCCCTTCCACAAAAAAGCACGCATGATTTGTTCAACTCTATCCAAAACTTGTAGTGGTAAGAAAAGGTGAGCAGCCCAATAAATATGCATGCTAGAGAGGACAGAGATGATGAGCTGCAACCTGCCAGCATAAGACAAGAATCTATTGGTCCACCCCTTCACTCTACTTTCAATTTTCTCAATGAGGGTTGTGCAGTGAATGAATTTCAATCTAGTAGAGATGATAGGCACACCCAGGTATTTGATAGGAAGGTTGCCTACAGGGACACCAAAAATTAGCTTGATCTGTTCCATAGCTTGTGGTTGGACCGCCGCCATGAACATATTACTTTTGGTAGGATTGGCTTGTAGCCCAGACACCTGCTGAAACTGGTCAACAACCATCTTCAATGTAGAGACAGAGCTAACATCCCCATGACAAAACAACAGCAAGTCATCAGCAAAGATTAGCTGACAAAGTTTCATCTTCTTGCACCTCCAGTGGAATTTAAACTTCTTGTTGGATCTGATGTTATGTTGAACAATCAGTGTAAGCACTTCCATGGCCATAACAAAGAGGTAAGGGGAAATAGGATCCCCTTGCCTCAATCATCTCGCATTAGGAAAAAAGCCTTCAAGTTCGCCATTAATGTTAACTGAAAACTTAGTAAAAGTAAGACAGGACCATATCCACTTCCTCATCATAATTGGGAAATTAAAGGCACGTAAGGTGTCCATCATAAAGTCCCAATCCAATGTATCGTAGGCCTTCATAAGGTCCACCTTGATAGTGCATCTGGGCGACCCTCCATCCTTATGGTAATCCCTCATAATCTCTTGGGACAAAAGAATGTTATCACTGATTCTTCTACCAGGGATGAATGCTGATTGGTTAAGGCTAATAATATCCTTAAATGCACCTTTGGTTCTATTAGCAATAAGTTTTGAAATAGCTTTGTAGAACACATTGCAGCAAGAAATAGGCCTAAGCTCCCCTATACATGATGCATTAGGAGACTTAGGAACCAATGTGATGATTGTGGCATTGAACTCCTTCAACAGGATCCCACTAGAGAAGAATTCTTTTATGGCAGCTGTGATGTCCCCTCCAATAACAGGCCAAGCTTTCTTGTAGAAATAGGCATTGAAACCATCTGATCTAGGTGCCTTGTGGTCATTAAAGGAGAAAAAGACTTCCTCTCCTCCGAAGTAACATCCCTAACCATATCAGACGCTTGTTGTTATGATAACTTCTGTTGCACAATGCTTTCCAGTAATCTACTCCTATCTTGTGAGTTTAATGTAGGACTCTTGGTACCTAGCAGTCATTGGTAAAAAGAAATAGCTTCCTTCTTAACAGCCCTTTCTCCCTCAATAAGCTCACCGTTTTCTATTTGCAGGGATAAAATCTTCTTTCTATTCCTTCGCTTTGTTATGGTTTTGAAGAAGTAACTTGTGTTTCTATCACCTTTCAACCACAAAACCTTGGACTTCTGTTTAAGGAAGGATTCCTCATTTCTAGCAGCAGTTGAGTAGGTGGCAAGAGGTTGCTTCTCCTCAAGTCTCAGGTTATTGTTAAGTGGATCAGTAGCTAACCTTCTCTGGCAGTTTTCCACGGCCTCTTTTGCTTCCTTCGCCCTCTCTGAAATATCACCAAGCTCTCTGCTCTTTGCCTTGAAGGAATCCTTGATTTTCTTCAATTTGCAGCACACCTGGTATTGTTGAGTTCCCTGGATGGGTTCCCTCCAAATCAGATCAACCGTAGGTAGAAAGTTTAGCCTCTCAGCCATGAAGTTAAAGAACTTGAAAGGACTCCTTCTTTTCCTTATTTCTTGACCAATCTTAAGCAGAGCTGGACTATGATCCGACATTCCTGGTGGCAAAAACACAGCTTCTAATTGTTGAAATCTGATATTCCATTCTTCATTTACCATAACCCTATCCAATTTCCTGACAATACTCCAAGCTTCAATTCTGCGGTCACTCCATGTAAAAAGGCACCCAGAAAACTTAAGATCCACTAATTCAGCACATTGAAGACAATCTTCAAAAAAGTCTTCATTGGACTGGCACCACCTACCAGAGCAGCCCATTGATTCCTGAGTGTGTCTAATAGCATTGAAATCCCCAAGAATTGTCCATGGTAAGGATGCAAACATTCCAGCATGGTAAACCAGATTCCCCCAAAGGTGTCTTCTATCTTGTTCCTCGTTAGATCCATATACAACAGAGGCAAAAAAATAGTCATTTGTCTCCAAGTGATTAACAAAACAATGGATAACTTGCTCAGTAGCAGAGATTTTATTCACTCTCAAAGTATGAGGTTTCCACCCAACCCAAATCCTTCTTCTGTTGTGGCAATTGTAATTGTCCACATGCTCCCATTGTCCATACGCATTTCTCATAGCCACATCCTTATTAACGCTTCTAATCTTGGTCTCCACTAGACTTAATAAGTCCAAGTTTTGATCCCTGATAAATTTCCTAACTTCTCCCTGCTTCCAGGGTTTATTCAACCCTCTCACATTCCAACAAGATACTTTTAACATAATAATAGAGATTTTTTGGTTTTGAGGTGCTCCAACACCTTTCATTTCCCCAGTTTACTGTCTTTCTTCTTTACCTTCTTCTTTTTATGTTCCCCTTCAGGCAAGTTCTCAACCTCAGGTTCATGCCCAATGGATACAACCTCATTCACTTGTCTCATGTTAATAGCAGTGTCACCACTATTAGTACAAGGGACTGGGGATAAATCCACAACAATTTCCCCTCCTTCCAAATTTAAACTTCCAAATTTGTTAGGGGACTAAATTGGCTTCGCAGATTGCTCTGTATGATTCTTATCACTAACAATTATAGTAGTGAGAATGTTAGTGGTCACCTGGGTTTCATCTTATGGCCCATTTGGACACTGGTTGTTAACAGACTTGATGGCACTGCTGCTGCTGGCATCCATATTTCCCACTTGGGGTAGGCTTTTCCCAGGTTGTGGAACCTCCATGGCACCTCCCACATCCCCCAATGGGGTTATAATGGCTTTCCCTTTGTCCTTGTTGCTAGTGTTATTCATAACCGGCTTTGTATGAGAAGAGTGACTAGCACCTACTTGTGAACAATAACCTTCTTTGTGACCAAACACTTTACAAGAATGACAGACGCTAGGCTTCTATTGGTACTCCACCTTTATTTCTACCGTCTCTATTTTGTCTTCCATATCCATCCTCAAATCAAATGCCTCCACAAGATTGGCTTCAGCACTCACCTCAATGCATATCCTTGCAAAGTTAAGTCTCTTTTTATTGGTAGTCATGGTGTCAGCATACAATGGGGTACCAACTGCACTAGCAATATGGCGAAGACCATCCACACTCCAGAATTGCAGTGGAATATTATAAAGCTTGACCCAAAGAGGGATGGTAGAATGATCTTCTTTGGTAAATAACAAATCAGGAGTCCACTTTTTCAATATGAGTGGCCTCCCTGAAAATAACCAGGGGCCAGCCTCAAACACCTTAGTTGGGATTCATCATCCATGAACTTAAAATAGTAAAATCCATTTCCATTTGCAAGGACCTCCAGTAAACCCATCCTATCCCAAACCTTGTGAGCAATGAAACTAACTGTGGAATAAGGCAATTTTCTCTCTATAAAATACCCTACAAGGAAGTTTTGCCACTCAATGCATCCCTGTTTTCTGATTTCTGATGGTGGTTTGACAACAATTCTATCATTTTCTTTGCAAGGTTTGAAATACTTTAACCTCTTGATTGGTTGTTTCCCCCCATTAGCTGGTTTTCCTTCTTGAGGGTTACCTCATTTGCCTGCCTTCACAACCTGGCTCCAAGACTCCTTGGGTGGACCTTGTTTCTGTTGACTGTTATTCTCTGGCGATGGTGCCCCTTTGTGTAGGTCCAGCTGAGCTATGGCCTTGGATTTCCTTTTACCTGCTTCTTCAACGGACATCAAAGAGGGGTTAATGTCTTGATTTTTGTTTGGATTTGGTGACTCATTGAATGAATCCATCAGAATGTAGGTTGACAAATAGGTTAGTTAAGGGGTGTTAGTAATGGAGGGGAAATGGTTGGGTAGGTCATTAATGCAAAATGGGTGACAGATCGGGTGATTTGAGAAAAGATCTAGAAGTTGGGGGAATAGCTGAGAGAGGGATTTGGTGTATGAGTTGAGATTTTGGTGTCAGAGGTGAGGAGTAAATGTGGAAAGTAAAGGGAATGGTTGAATCATAGTAGCTAAGTAAAAAAGGGAAAGGGTACAATAGGGTTATGAAGGTGGGCAGGCAACCGAAAAAAGAAGAACGGGGATTCGGTTAAGAGGAGACAATGTTAGCAAAATAGGATTTCACTAAATTAGAAGGCTTTGATCGTGTATTCACTGTCCTTAAGGAAATTATGCCCCCACTGTGTTGTTGTTGGGTTTATGACAAATTCCTCTAGGTTAGCAGCATTATAAGGAATAATCTATGGCATTGGCCTCACACAGGAACCTTTGAGCTTCGGGAAATTAAAAAAACCATGCCCTCCTACCAACCATGTCAACAAAGATGGGATGTTTTTAAATGGATTCCTACCCCAAATGACACTTTCTCCTCAATCTCTGCCTGGAATCAAGTGAGAGTTCATTCTCCTAAAGTGCCTTGGGTTCATTTGGTGTGGTATAGTCATGCTATTCCTAGGATGAGCTTTATTCTTTGGCTAGCCATTAGAACAAGGCTTGGCACAAAGGATAGAACTCAAGTTTATACAAACAATATGGGGATGGAATGTGTTCTATGTAGACAAGCTGATGAGACCCATTCTCATTTATTTTTTGAATGTCATTACTCAAGGAGCATATGGAGAAATTTGCTTCAGCTCACTGGTGAGCAGGGACAACTTAACTCTTGGCAGCATCTGGTAAGTCATGTGATCCAAATTTGGAAGGGTAAGTCCATGGTGAGTGTGTTGAGAAGACTTTGTTTGGCAGTGAGTGTGTATTTTATATGGAGGGAACGGAATAACAGAATCCATCAAAACCAAGTGAGAGACTACAAGTCCTTGTTAAACCTCATTGTGCAGACAGTTAGGGACAGAATGTCTTCGGCCAAGTTCAATTCCTCTCAATTGAACATGTGGTTATTTCATATATGGCAACTTCCTAGTTCCTGCATAAGGGTCTAAGTTCTCTGATGTTCCTTCTCATCCTTTCATCACCCATGTGGAATGCAAATGGCTTTGTTGGGAATCCTTTGTTGGCTATGCTATCCTTGCATCCTGACTTTTGTACGATTTTTTCTAGCGTAATTGCTCGTTGGGGTTGTCTGCTTGATGCATGTTGTTGCTAGTGCTGATTTTATTGGTGTGTTGGGCTGAATTTTTTGGTACTGATTTCATCCTCACTTCTGTACGATATTTTCTGGCTTACTTGCTCGTTGGGGTTGTCTGCTTGTTACCTGTTGTTGCTGGTGCTAATTTTATTGGTGTGTTGGCTTGCTATGGTGTGTTGAGTTGGCGCTGAATTTGCTACTGCAAATGGCTGGATTGGTCTGCTACCATGCATTTCAATGGGAGTTTCTCTTGCTCAGGGCATCTGCTATCTTGTTGGATGAATTGAGATCATGTTTTGTTTTTGTTAACCATTGTACTCTTGTCAACAATTTTGGGGGAGATACCCTTACTTAGGGCAGCTCTTTCAGAATTGTGTTTTTAAGCCTTGGCTTTTTGGATTTGATGTTTGTTTTTGAGTCTTACGTGACTTCATTGTACATTTTGGGGGTGATCACCCTTGGTATTTCTGTTTTATTTAATACACTTTACCTTCCGAAAAAAAAAAAACAAAGCCAAAGCCAAAGCCAAACAAAATTTCAAATAGCAAACTCTAAAATTCTCCCAATAACAGAATAGAGAAACGTTTTTTTGTATATACTTCAATTGAAATATCTGTACAGGTATTTATAATACCTTAGTGAAGAGACACAACTCTTAGGCCAAAGAAATGTAAAGAAGAGACACAACTCTTGGACCGAAAGACATTTAGCAATTAATTAATACAAAAATAATTAATTATTTAAAGGTTTCAAGCCCATCTTTTGACTTTAAAGATTATTTTATTTAAAGTTTAATTAAGGCTCATTGATTTGAAATATTTGGAGCTTCCCTCTAAATCTTCCCACCATCCAAATTTCTAAAATTTGGTGTGTTTCTCCTTTTAAACCCTTACATTCCCTTTCAACATTTTTAATGTGGGATTCTTTACATTACTAACTATCTCTAACAGACAAGAGAAAGGAACAAGGAGATCTCAACAATGGTGCTTCTGGTTCAAGGTGAGAACGACGGACAAAACAGGGGAGCCATTTTTTCGTCAAGCAAGTTGATGCACTTACGCAAATGTACTTACTCCTATATATGGTTGCCACATAGTCGGTTTCAAAATTCCGTATTCACCGTATTGTGGAGATCATGATGCTAGGATCTGTGGAAGAGCATCACACAGCACTCCACTTGTGATCATTTGTCACGTTGGCCTTAGATGTTTATTTTTTTCTTTGGGTTTCATTACGATACTAAAAAGTTTTTTTTTTTTATAACGTACTAAAAGTTTTTCATTAATTAAAATATACCAAAGTTTTTATGTTTTGATATCATAGTCCTATCTTCTTCTTTGTTTAGATGTATCTGGATGTTTGATGAGATGACCATTACCATGGTGATGGTTATGACAATAAAAAGGGCGGTTGAAAATCTTGATGCAGATATTTGTGGAGCTAAAGCAAAGCATTAACGTTTCACAAATAATTGAAATAAGAAACATAAACATCACGAATGAGCAACACATATTTAACAATCCAAAACTACAAATTGTTTTCGTCTCTATAAAATCTGATATAAATTTACATCTTTCATCAGATAAGGTATAATTCTACACAAGAAAATATGTATGATTGACGATTCACTCCAAGTTCCTCAAAAAATAACATACGACTCTTTGAATTACACTTGGTAGGTGAAACCATAACTGGGATGATTTCGATGAAGAAACTCATTCAGAGCCTTTGAGTTTTTCTTAAATCGATGAACTTTTTTTAGGGCTTCAATATAATTGATGGGTAATTCGCCCCATTTGTTATGTATCTCACCAACCGCACGAAGCATGTCTCTACAAAGATTCTTGTCCACCTTACTCTTCATGCGTTCATCATCGGATCTTGGAGGTGGTGGAGGATCAAAGAAGAGCCCAACACAATGCTCCATTCTTGATCGCTCGTAGTCTCGACCCGCCATCTTTTCTCCTTTGTTAGATGAAGTTGGATTGTGAAACGTGAAGAAGAATATGGTGGTGATGATCACGACAATTAAGTTGAGGATCAAGTATATTCTTCTTGGAGTGTAGGAAGCCATGATTACTTGATAGGATGAATAGGGTTTTTGGCTACTATGTTCATATATATAGTGCTAGCGGTCAAGAATTTTAGGGTACAACAAAACATTTAAATCGAAATAGGATACCGCGTGAATCCATTTCAATCCTAGGCAAACAAGGAAATCTAAGTATACGTGTGTCCGTACCTTCTGTTCCAAGTAACTTGTGGAATTTTTCTGATAATGCAACACTGCTATGTCAATTCTAGTGACTGAGCTCACTTGAATTTCTATTGGCAAGCCAAGAGTTAGAGTTTTTGTGTTGCATAACCAAGTCCAGCTTATTGATTCGCCACTTCTCCCATGATTGGAGACTTGTAAATAGATTGGATTTTCAATGGTTTAAAATTTGATATAAGGATTTTGATTGAAATTTGTTCGGATATCATCTTATTTTCACATTAGAATTGATTATAAAATTTAAATTACATTGGAATTGATTATAAAATTCAAATTTGATCCGAAAATGCAATCTAATCTCATAATTTTATCAAATAATCTTTCAACTAAATCATATGTATAAATTTCTATTTCGATCACAAATGAATTAGATATTGTTGCATTCAACACAAATATTTGAAATATGATATATTTGGTGCGAATTATGGGTCAAATTAACGAGTAACACTATTAATAAGAATAATGTTAGATAAACTTAAAATTAGACTTAAAAATTGAACTTGATAATCTCAATTATTGAATATAATGGATCCTAATAAATACTGGAATCAATAAAATCAATAATTCTAATTATTAAATCTAATTTTTTTCAATTATTGAATAAGTCGAATCTATAAACCTTTTTGTTTCTTTTCAAAACTGACAACTACACACAGTGACCTCTTTCATTTCAACTGGTAGTCCTCTACGCGTATTCCAATCTATAATACAAAGTCTGCTCTTAACATCTTTCACACGAAACCATTCTCCATTAACATTCCTCACCCATCTCTCAAGAATCAACAATCTCTCTCAGCCCACCAATCTCTCACAACCAGCAATCTCTTTAGTTCATCTTCTTTCTTCAAGAATCAATATGCCAAACCACTACTCATTGCAACTGGACAGGGATGCTCTTCCACTAGGCACTCGGCGTCTGCCACCATACGAGTCGCTTTGCCTCCAAATCCGCATTCGTCGACGTGCATATATCAACGATTCTGTTGTGCAAGAACTTCCTGAATACGCGCAGGCTTTTACTCTGTTACATGAGATGCTACTGCACGAAGACTCGGCTCGGGTCTTCTTATCTTTTTGTCTTTCAGCAGTGGGAATCCCCATCAATGATCAGGATCAGATGTTAAACGCCATCGCCTCTTTCTATCTGGACATGGGTGTAGATCCAGCTTCTAGTACCTGTAGTGGTGGTGCAATTCCCATAGTTCTTGCCGATATTCTGATCGAGTACGAGGCACATGATGAAACTCAAGCTGTGAATAGGGCAATCCAAGAATCCATGGAATTAGATATGTTCAAGGCTGTGCCTGCCACTAAATCGTCCATCGAGGGTCTGAAGAAGGTCAGACTGGAGGGTTCGGGTTCCATGGAAGAATGCATGATATGTTTGGAAAAGTTTTGTGTCGGGCAAGAAGCCACATGCATGCCGTGTTCGCATGTCTATCATGGCGATTGCATTGCTCAGTGGCTGGAGAGGAGTCATTTGTGTCCACTGTGCCGCTTCCAGATGCCGACGGATTCGGGTTCCTCTAGGTGATGAGACACAATGAACATTGGATTGTTAATGCATTCACTCTTGAAAAAATTAGGTTAAGAGTCTATTCATTCTGCTAGTTATGTTGTACAGAATGTGGCATCATACGATTTTTAGTTTGGTTCTCAATTTCTGTTCTTCCAGTTTACAATTCACTCTAATCCGTATACATATTAATATTTCAGAATTTTGTCCATGCCCTTAGTCTGTGATTAAATGCAGCATTGAATGCTTGAGTGATTAAGTCCAGCTGGATTTAGCAAAGCAGTGTTTTTATTGATAGGCAAAGGCTGCTCAGCTTTAGTTTCGTCTCTTTTGGGGGGTCCGGGGTGACGGGGTCCTTCAAGCAGTTTCAGCACCGTTCACGGATTTTAGCCTCCTGCTCCTGTTATATGCTGCTTGTTTTTTGTTTCATGTGCTTACCTTAGACTTGATCATTTGATCAATTATCTACTTACTTTGCAGTACTAAGGAGCACCATGTGTTTACCATAGTGTGAGAGTGAATAGCTAAAAAACTAGAGGACAACGATTTTGCGTATCTTCCACAGCATATAGTTCTTGTTTGCATGGAAACGCAATTGTATGTCATTGATGTCAATGAGAACACCGGCAATAATGATGATTTCCTTCATTGTACTTGTGGTTTTTTCGACTGGATTTTTATGCTAAGAACATAGAGCTTTACGCCAATGGGGAAAACGATTTCTCTCATCATTTTTAAAATCTTTCTTATAACCAGGTCAGAAATCTTGAAAGAGTTGGAGAAAAACTCTCTCTCTCCTCCTTGACCATGAAGAACTAAAATCTAAAAAATTGAAAGAACTCAGATCAGCTTACATATCTCAAAAATAGAAAAATCAAACTCTATGAAAAAATTGAACACTATCTGAAAAATCAATCTCGGGTCTGAAAAATTGAACTCTCACACTTTGGTGCAATGTTGATGGTTGAAAGTGGTGGATGGTTGAGGTGGGTGGTTGGTTTTAAGGTGGGTTGGCTGTGCCTTGGAGGAGATGGGTTTGGGTTTTGAGTTTTCTAGGTTTGGCAGTGATGACTTAAGGTGGTGGGAATGGCGATGAGACAAGAGAGGCCAGAGACATTGAGAGAAGAGATGGTGGTTGCAGGTTGTGGAGGACGGACTCTAGTGGGAAGTGGTGGTGGTGGTATTAAGACATAATTTTAGCAACGCAAAATTGGTATAATCATTGGAATTAATTAGATTTGGCTTAATTGGTGTAAGTAATTAAGTTTGAGCTTAATTAAACAAATTATTTTACGAATTGATATAGCTAAATCAACTTCATGACACAATTGGATTAGGTGTTAAGTGCAGTTTTACTATATGGTTTTTTTGGAAATATGGAAATTTTTATGTCTGGTGTCTTCATTTTTTAGGATTTGATTTGTAATTTTAGTTTATGTGAGTTTTCTTTTTCTTTTCTTTTTTCAATTCAAAACAGAGGACGTTATTTTTATTTTTTTACTTCTGTTTAGGACATACAATATTTAACGGCATTTTGGGGTCTTAGTGTCATTTTTGAGTCTACGTAATAAAATCAAATGTCTAGTGAAATTTGCGTTTTTCATTTTTATTGGATGCAAGATAGAGGCTTTGTACCATTAAAAACAAAAAAAAAATGTTTTTCAATTGTATCCTTGAGTTTAGAGTAGCCTTCCAAAACTGGACTACACGGATTCATTTTTCATCTTGGGAGCCTTCCAAAAAAAAAAATTAAACGTAGTCATTCTGACTTAGGAGCCTTTCAATAGTAAAATTGTTCTACATGTTCTAATGTGAAAATTTCACATGAGACCAATATTTTATGAAGATAATAAAAAAAAATTATGATTATTAAACATTTTATAGAGAGTTACGGCATGATTTAATTCAAAAATTTTAGTAATTTTGGAATCAAACGGGATCAAACAATAAAATAAGTCAGAATCAGATAAAATAAATAAAGTCTTAAAAAAGAGAGCTAGAAATAAAGAAAAAAGTAAGACAATAAGAGTGGAGGGGTGAAAAAGACTTAGAAAGAGGCGTTGAGAATGGATGTAAAGAGAGTGAAAGGAATTTTAGAGAGTGCTATTTTAAAGTAGAAATCGTTACTTTTAAGGTTTTTTTAAAAGTCTTTGTTATATTTTAAAATTTTTTATAAGACTTAACATAGACTTGTGAAAATATTGTTACATTTTATGACTTTCTATAAGGCTTTACATAAATTTGAAATATATTAAGTCTTTAATTTTGTCCATTTAAAATGACCTCAAAACATGAAATTAAACTAAGGGTTGAAAATTTAATTGGAATACTAAATTTTTTAGGGTTTTATGTGACTAATTTAATGGTCGGGCCTTGTTGTGCCTCCTCTCAGTCAAAGAATCGAAATATCAGCACGTCTCACAACGATAATAATCTCTGTAAGTCTCTCACTATCGAGTCTTCGTCTCTATGTGGTGCTGCATAACTTTTCTTTGTTAGTAATTTAGACATCTAACATATATTAAATATTTTATATATATGTTATTTCATACCCATGTCATCGGCGCTTAACTGTTCAATAGTACAATCTATAGGAATTATAAATATACATAGATTATTATGGCTAAGTACACCATTTTTAACAAAAAGATCTGCACATTTGTTTGTCTTCCTCATCTCTTTGTTGACTCGCATTTTTCGAAATCTCTCAAATAATCCATCAGTTGTGGTTTGATACACTTTGAGCGGTGGCTATTCTAAATAAAGTTTTTTTTAATATTAATTTAAATTTTTTCTTATTTTTTTAAGATAGTTATTATTAGTCAAGTTTTATACACATTCTTTTTTTGCAATTGATCACGTGACTAATCCACATAAGCTTTCTAATTTTATAAGATTTATTCTTGTTTATGTACCTAAATTTAACCTAATTTTTTTTATGTTGTGTTTGTTATCAGCGACAAATATAATTAAAAATATTTTATTTAAAATTTAAATAGTTTTTAAAATGTTCTCTTCTTCAAAATTTTTCTATACAAATATTTGTTATTCTAGTTTTTATATTTACAAAAAAACCAAATGCTTCAATAAGAAAATATTATTATCTTGGAATTAAAAAAATTAAAATTATAAAATAATAAAACTTAATTTATTATCGTGAACCACGAAATTAAGATATGATACAAAAATTCTCCTCTAATATCGCCTATTAGAAAAAAAAATGAGAATCAATAGGTTAATGTTTTGTCTTTAGGTATTTAGAAA